TACTGAAATAACAAAGTCTGGAGTTAACATGTTTACAATATACACAAAATGTTCTTCATTCTCTTCATAATATACTTGAATCCAATGAATTGCTTCTTCATTATTATCAGAATCTAAAACTACTTCCATCCATCCACAAATGTCTTGTGCCAATTTTTGTGTTTCTTCATCAAGACATGAAATATCATAAACAAATCTATCAGGTTCTTCATTATCATGAATAAATTCAGTTGGTGTTTCAAATTTAGAAACAACCTCATCTATAGAAAAGAATGTGTCAATATCTAATCTTTTTCGTATACTTTGTGCTAAATTAATTAATAATACAGCAAGTTCTAATTGAGTTTGTGTTCCAATCAAACTAACAGCTCCATTTGAATGAATTAACATTGGTCCAAGAACAACAGCAATATTTCCTATTCCCATTTGATTAACATCTTTATATTGAATAATAGCTTCAGCAAGATTTAATATGATACATAATGTATATTTGTCTTTCTTATTTAATTTTTCAATTATTTCCATTAATACTTCTTCTCGTTTATTCTCTTCATTTTTTAGTATTTCTTCTGCTATTTGTAAATCAAATAATCCGACTGTTGCTTCTCGTAAATAACTTTTTAATACACCAACAACATTATGAACATCATTTACCCCATGATTCATTTCATCAAGAAATCCAGTTGAATGTTTAATAACTTTCTCTATTAATTTTTTAATATATTCATTATTTCCTGATATTCTGAAAATTCCTTCTACTTCTATTCCATGCATATAAATCCATCTACAAAGATCATAAACTACTTGTGGGTCTGCTTGTTCTTTTCCTTTCTTTTCTTCTTTTTTCTTTTCTGTTTCAAATTCAAATATAATTTTTTTTGCACATTTCCTTCCTCTTTTTGATACATATATATATGCCTTGTTATTTGTTGCAATTGCACCTATATCCTCTTCTTGATTTACAACCTCTCCATTACTTTGATAGACAACAACATCATCATGTAGTCCTTCTTTAATACTTATCATAGTTTTTTCAATAACTTCTCTAACTTTCATTTGAGATGCTACTTTAAATGTTTTGTTATATGTTTGTAACAAAAACCCAATTTCAACAGTAACTTCAATATTTTTCTTTTCTTTTTTAATACTTATTTCACTACTCCTTCTTTTTTCTCTTCTTTCCATAGTACAAACAGTTTTTCTTTTCCAAATATCATTTTTATGTCTTTCTTCTGCATGTTGTTCTTTGTCAATTACTTCCTTCTTCTTTTTAGTGTCTTTTACTTTCTTTTCTTCTTTACTTTCTTTTCTTGGTGATAATTTTTCTTTCAGTGATTTCGGTCTTTCTTTACTCCCTTCTTTTCTTTTAGTTTTTTCTTCATTTTCTTTTTGACTAGAGCTGTCAATAATATCATCTCCGTGGTGCTCAATAATGAGTTCTTGTGAGTCTATCTCTTCACTTTTCTTTGTAATAATCTCAGATTTACTTTGTTTCAACATTTTTTGTTTCTTATTTTTCTTAAACACTTTTCTTTTTGGGTTTTCCTCTTCTTCTTCTCCTCCTTCTTTTTTCTTATCTTTATGACTTTTTTTTGGTGATTCTGATACCGTTGTTTTTTCGTTTGTTTTTCGTTTGAACATGAATGAAAGCAACCTCTCTTTACTGACCCTCTTTTCTTTGTCTTTTCCTTCCTGGTTTATTTCTTCTTTTTCATCATTCTCTTCTACTTCATTATTACTACTGGAACTTCTTGTTTTCTTTTTACCTGAACTTTTTTCTTTTGAAGGTAATCTTTTAACCACTTCATCTGTTTTCTTTTCTTCACTTTCCAATGGTGGGGTTGAGGTTCTGTTTGTTTGGTTCTCAAGTATTTCTGGTGTTTTCTCAATGTCACTCATGGAATTGTTCAAAAGTTCTTTTCGATTTCATTTGAAAAAACTACTTTGCACCTTTGTTCCAACTAAATTCCATTTTATTTTATTACAAATTTATTTTTATCAATAACACAATCACAAAATGAAAAACAAACACCAAAATTTAAAAAAAAAGTACTTAATCTTTATATAAACAAGTAAAGAAATATAAAAAATGGGGGGTTTTTCTTAGAAGGGTTATGTATGTCACATACTTCCTTCTTCTTTTTTGTAAGTCTTAATTTAGGTCAACTTGTCATATAATTTTTATATTCTTTTAGTTAATAACACAAGAGATTTTCTAGTTATGTTAAATAAATAGTAGGTGTTTATTCTTTATTTCTAGTTAGTCTAATGAGTTGTTTAAATAATATTTATTCAAAATGATGTTATTTTTCAATTAAATAAATATTTGGTTTTATTATCATTTTTAGTAATCAACATTATTAAATCAAAAAAGTAAAGATGGTTTTTATCTATTTAAAAAAGAAATAATGAATGTATCAAATATATTAAAACCTGAATTTAATGATTATAAAATGCTAAGAATATAAAATATTATTTAAAAATAATAAAGACACAATAATAATACCAATTTATGGTAATAACCAACAATGGAATTGAGATATATGTTGAACTAAAAAAATAAAAATGAATTATTTAATAAACATAAATACGAATATGTAATAATATGAAGTATTTTCAATTTCATTAAATAGTATTAACATATATTTATAATTAATACTAATCTTCAAACTTTTCTTTATTAGTCAATATTAAAGTATAATATAGAGTATTAATTTAATTATGATTAATTTTCAACTTAGTAAATAATACTCTGTTTCTTATTATTCTACATGTTTAAGTATTAATACAATTTTATTGTTTTGTTTTTTAATTCTTATTTTATCACTTAAATGAAGGTAAATTAATAATAATATAAAATATACTATATTTTATTACAAATATGTTATATATTAATTATGAATATGAAATTTTTATTAAAATTATCAATATATTATATTAATGTATTGTGGAATGGAATAGTTTTATAGTTAATAGCTAAGATTATAATAATATGTTTAATCAAGATATTTTACTCAAAGTCGGTGTCTAATTTATTTTTGTATTAAAAATGAAAAAATAAAATTTCTTATAAAAATAAAATTATAATTATTTTGGTTTTATAAAACATATTATTCAATAAATTCTGTACTAATAGAAGAAATAGGAGCTATTAATGTGAGAGAATGGTCGTAAATATTTAATGGAATTTGGTCACTCCAAATTCCTTCTTCAAATGAATATTTCCAATATATAGGTGGAAGAGTTTGTTCTCCATAGTTTAGAAACACACAAGTCATAAGAACTTCTTTTTCTTTCCAACTATTTATTTCCAATTCAGAGCCAATAGAACCATACCAAAATGAATTAGTAACAATTTTTTCAAATTGACTATAATAAGAAATTCTATTTAATGAAGACTCTCCAAAAAGAGAAATTTTTATTGGGTAATTTGTTGTATTATAGAAATGAATCTTTACTTCAATAGGTTCCATTAAATTAACTTCTTTTTCATATTCAAATTCTACAAAATGACCAATAAAAATTGAATGTAAAGAGGCTAAAAGTGTTGAATGTTTTGTTAATTGACCAGCTTTAGATTTAGATAATAATGAGTTATAAGTAAAATGATAAGGGTAAGTTTGATTATTTCTATGAAGAACTGCTGGAATGAAGTCAATAAAAGTTACATTTATAGAGTCTTTATATTGCCAAATTAATGAACAAATATTATCGATAACTTCTTTTAGCATCATTGGATATTCATTTTTAACATATTGAATAGCCAATTCATTAATTATATTATTTTGTTGAAAGTCATGTTGAATTTCATTTGAAAATTGATCAATACTAATAGTTTCATTTAATAACTCATTTGATGAAAATGAATGAACTCCAATAATAATACTTGTTTCATCTTTTTTAATACAATTTAATTTATTCCAAGACTTAGATAATAAGGAAATATTTTTTATTTTTATTTTTTCTTTTAGTTGATTTTGTTTTAATCCAAATTTAATTTGTGTTTCTTTAACATTTCTTATTCTTCCAAGTAATTGAGATTGAATAAATAATGGAGAAGATACATTATAATTAATGTGTTCAATAAAACATTCTTCTTCATTAATTTTAAATTTTAATATTAATGAACTATTTTCTTTTATAACTCTATGAATAATTTCAAGAGACTTAACTTCTTCATTTTTAATTTTTCCAATATTAAATATTTTACAATCATCTTTTTTAGTACCACCATAAATTCCATACTGAGGACTTATTTCAATAGAAATAAAATCTACACTTTGTTCAATAATATTTTTAATATTAATTTTTGTTGTTATTAATTCTCCATTAAATACATCTTTTTTAGTATTTAATTCAATACAAATAGGTATTTTAAATGATCTTACTTTAATTTTATATGCTTCTGAAAACGCTAACTTAAATTTAAATCCATACATTCCAACATTAATTCCATGAATTAAATATTCTCCTTCTTTAGGCATAGTAAATTGTAAAGTAACTTCTTTAGATTTTTTTTCTTCAATAAATACATTTTTTATTTCATCTGCCCCTTCAACATCAATTTTAATTGTATTTAAATGAATTGGAAAAGATTCATTATTTTGTATAACTAGAACTATTGAACTTTTTTCTCCAACAACAATTTCTTTTTGTATTTCTTTTAGTTGAATATCAATTGGATTGTATAATGAAAGTTTTTGTGTATAACGTAGTCTACAATCACATGCAAAAATAAAGAATGAAATAGAATTAATGTCTTTAATTTCATTTACCATTTCTTCTACTAAACATTTAGAAGTAATTAAAGATGGAATTATTAAATCTTTTTTACTATAATAAATACATCTTCCAGTACAAATACATCTAATACTTCCTAATCTTTCATTTGCAAGAAAATATTTATTTGCTGCTTCCATAAATGAAAGAGTTGCTTTTCTAGGTGAATTATCAATCATTCTCATTGCTATTTGTTCATTTATAAGAGCAGAAAATAATGGAGATAATTCTTTCATATGTTTAACTCGAATCATATGTCTTTCCCATTCTTTTCCTTTAATCATTGCACCAAAATTCATTCCAATTCTTCTTGCAATTAAGTAATCACTTTCAATTAAACTTTCACTATTTTTTGAATTAGAATAAAAATAATCAAATGCTTCTCTCATTTCATTTATAAATGGACTTCCTTTCATATATAATGAATATCCAATCATTTCTTTACATCCTTTAACTTGTCTTATATTATCAAGATATTCAGGTAATGCTTTTAAATATTCTTCAATTGCATTATCATATTTTCCAATACTAAAATATAAATCACCAATTTGTTGATGAATATTTTCAAATGTCTTAGACTTTTCTTTTTCTAATTCAAATTCATTTTTATCAGTAAATATTTCTCTCATAATTCCTCTAATTCCACTTCTGCCAATAATTAAATCATCTAATCTTTTAATTTCATTTTGAACAATTTCATATGAATATTCAACTAATTTTTGTCTTGCATCACAAATAGATTTTTTATCATTAGAATTAATACAAATGGTATATTTCCATTGACTTCTAAATTCAATTTTTCTTTGTGTAAAACAAACATAAATCTTTTCACTTTTTTCTCCATTTAAATGTTTTAATTGTTCAACATCTGTAGAAAGTCCTGCTAATGCACTAACAACATCTCCATTACAATCATTATCACTACATGCAATTACAACACAAATAGGTTTTCCAAAATTATTTGTTGGTTCTGAAACAATTTCAACAGTTGAAGCCCATCTATAAATACAATACCAATCACTAACTATTTTACAATCTTCTGTTAAATATGATGATTTTTGTTTTTTTGATATGTCTGGAAATAATGATGTTAATATCACTGGCTTATCTTCTGTTCCAATTAAACAAATAGTTTCTAATGGACTTAATAATTTATTAATAGGATCTTTAATTTCTAGCTGAACAGTTCTACTTGTTAAAAAAGAGATTCTAGGAGCAAAACCATATCTAATAAGCTTCTTACCAATTCTCAGATCTTCTTCAAAGATACTTTTTTTCATAGAATTTTTAGTTTTCTTTTTTAGTTTCTTTTTAATTTTTAATAAAGCAGATTCGAAGATGGCACGTCAGAGACATCACATGAAACCCTAAAATAATCCCATGCTTCGAATCTCCCAGTTATCGTCTGGTCATGACGTGCCTTTGGTGAGATAATATCTATTCAACACTAACTGTTTATTATTATTAATATTTATTAGAAGTGATTATTATAAAAGATTATTATTTATTAACGTGTATTGTTATTCATTGAGGTGTATTGTTCTTCATTAACGTGTATTGTTATTCATTATTAATTATAAGGATTATTATTTACTAAGGAGGTATTATGTATTAAGAATTATCATTTATTAAAGAAGACGCATATATAATTGATATTGTTGCACAAAAATTAAACATAATGATATTATCAAGGAATAGGGTTTCTTTAAGGGGTGTCGAAGGTAAAAGGAGATGAGCTATAACAGTAAGTTATGGATATACTCTCCTTAAAACAACAATATAGAGAATGAGAAATATTATATTACTCATTAAAATCAAAATAAAAGTCAGGCAGCAACTTAAATGAGGAACCATTTAAGTCGAGCATGCTTGCAAAAACTTTATTTCAATAGAAATAAAGCGTGTTGAAGAAACTGATTCGCTCACTTCTCGACATGATGAAAAAACCTAAAAAATAAGGTTAATCATAATTGATTCCTTTTTTTTTTTTTTGTTTCTTTTTAATTTTTAATAAAGCTGAACAAAGAGGATTAAAAAAAAACAACATTTAAACCTAACTTCTTTTTTTGAATTTCAATAAAATGTTAGGAAATAACTTCATACATAATATTCAAGAAATTATTACAAATGATATACCTGTACATTTTGTTAATTTTGAGTATTGTGCACGTGCAATGAAAATGACATATCCAATTGAGTTAGGGATTTGTACATATAAAATGAGTGAATTTAAATTATTAGGAGAGTTTCATCAATTAATATATTGTGATATTAGTGAATTTATTAATAAGAAACAATTAACGAATCATCATGGATTAGATAGTAAAAGTCAATTTTTAAGAAAAGATTATAAAAATATTGTAAATGAATTAATGAAATATTTAAAATCTTTTAGTAATAACATTTATTGTATTGTAAAAAGAAAAGAAATTAGAAATCCAAGTTATGAATGTTTTGTTAAACTTTTTCAATTAGCAAATGAACAATTTAAAAATTTTAAATTTATTAAAGAAAGTGAATTTCTTTATTTATTATGTTCTTTTTATAATAAATCAATAGAAAATCCATTTTCATTATTAATGTCAGTTTCTACAAGAATTGGGACAATTGAAAAATGTCAAATTCATAAAGAAATAATGTCAAAGGGATGTGCTCTTGATTCAGTTAAATTAAGTGCAACTTCAATTTTTGTTATTATGAAGAATTTGAAAATTTCATTTAAAGAAATAGACCAATTACCTATTTTAGTATTTATTAACAAAAATTATGAAAAAGAACATTTTGTATCACCTCCTCTTCATTCTAAATCAAAAGAAGAAATTATAAAAGAAAGAGCAATAAGAAAACAACAAAAAAAATTAAAACAAGAGTCTAAAATATTAAAACAAGAAGAACATTATGAACAACAAATTATAAAAGAGAAACAAAATTTTATAATTAAAACAAATGAAAAACAAATTGAAAATGAAGAAAATGAATTTAAACAAAATGAATTTAAGTCAATTGCTCTTAATCTTTTTAAAGAAATAAATATTTTTGAATTTCCTATTCATTTCTTTGATTTTGAATTTTCTTCTTCAAAGACAGATGGTATTATTCCACTTGAACTAGGTATTTCAACTTATTATTTAAAAGAAAATAAAGAAATTAATTTTTATCATACATTAATTAAACCAAGTCATTATAATACTTCATTTGAAAGAGCTGTTGGAGTTCATGGAATTGACTTACATATGAATTATACTCAAAGTTATTCTGAAATAATAGAAGGTTTAACAAATTATTTAAATTCATTTAAAGGAAAGAAGTTATTAGTTTTAAAAGATGAAACTATTGGAGGAGATGTTTTATGTTTTAATAATTTATTTGGATATATCCAACAGTCAATTCCAAATGATTATATATTTACAACACATCATTTTTTATTAGAATATATAGCAACTATGAAAGGATTTGATAATACTAAAGCCAAAGAATGTGGAATTTTGATGAATGATGTTTATAAACAATTAAAAATTTGTGATAAATGTACATATCATCAGTTATTAGCTGATAGATATCATTGTGGTTTACAAGATGCTAGACATACAGCATTAGCAATATTAATAATATTAAAAGATATTGGTTATGAAATAAAAAATAATGATAAATTTCCATTTTGTGTGGTTCATAAAAACACAAATTTCTCCTTTAATAAAAACAGATTTATTTTTGTTGATACAAGTGCAACTGATGATAGAAGAATTATTGAACTTTGTCTTTCTTCAGTTAAAATAAATAATCAAAATGAATTAGTTGTTGATAAACAATATTTTACTCATTTTAATTTCTCAAATAAAATTCAAACCAAAGAAGAAAAACCTAAAGAAATAATTAACACTCTCAATTCATTTTTATCCCAAGACCCTCAAACAGTAATTGTTCCAGTTTGTATTTTTTTTTTTTGATTTGTAATTAAATTTAAATAAGTTCAAATAAATAATTTATCATTTAGATTAGTTTTAATTCTCCTAAAATTATTGAATTTCTTAATTATAGACAATTCCCTCTTTTAGCATTTACAGATTTTATGTCTTTATTTGTAAAACATTTTAATCCAAAAAAGAAATCTACTGGTTTATTATCTAAAGCAAAAAAACAATGTTCAAAATATTTACATGTTCTTCAATGTCCTTCTCATCCAAAAGAATTAGACAATTGTTGTTTTGTAACATCAACAAATATATTATTTTCCTTACAATATTTAACAACACATTTGAATTAATTTTATCTCAATACTTATTAATCATTTTTAATTTAAAAAAACTTTTTGAAAATTATATAATATTTAAGTTAAATTAAATTATCCAAATTTTCCATTCATTAGAGTCTTTAAAACAATTTCTTAAATATCTTTTAAAAAGATATGAATAGTTCTTATTATTAATTAGAAAAATATCTTTCATTCATTTGAATTTTTATTTTTTTTTTTTAAGTTAATTGAAAATAGTTTTAATGAAATGTATTTTTATTGCATTATGTTTCGTTACTTATTATCTTTCAATTTTTATTTTTCTGTTAGTTTTTTCATAATAACAGTAAATATGAAATATTAAAATTTGGTTATTTTAACTAAAAAAATTTTAAAAAGAACTATAAAAAAATTTTAACATATCAATTACAAATAATGGCTAAATTAAATTCATTAATTTATTCATGCTTACCAACTGGAATCATTCAAGCTAATTGTTGTATTCTTGGAAATCCTGAAACAGGAAATTATATTGTAACAGATGTTGGAGGAGATGCTGATCGTGTTATTTCAAGAGCAAAGTCAATTGGATTAAAGAAGTGTGTTGGTGTTTATTTCACTCATGGACATTTTGATCATGTGTCAGGAGCAAAAAAAATTAAAGAATTAACTGGTGCACCATTATGTTTACACGAAAAAGACATTGAATTATATAAGAATTTACCAATGCAATGTGATTACTTTGGCGTTCCTGAAGTGAATAATTTACCACCAATTGATGTAATACTTAAAGGTGGAGATGAAATTAATCTTGATGGACATAAAGGTGTTGTATTACATACACCAGGACATTCTCCTGGTTCTTGTTCATTTTATTTTAAAGATGAAGAGATAGTAATTAATGGAGATACTCTTTTTGCTGGATCATATGGAAGAACTGATCTATGGGGAGGTAGTTTTGCTCAATTAAAAGCATCAATTAAAAATGTATTATTTTCACTACCATTAAACACTATTGTTGTTACTGGTCATGGGTCAAATACTACAATACGAGAAGCAAAAAAATCTAATATGATCTGTTTTGCTTAATTGATAATTACTTTTTTTAATTTACTATTAAATATAAGAAATTTATAATAAAAATAATAATATTTTAACTGATTTAAGAAAATCAATTAATAACGTGTTTTAAATTTCATTTTTTGCTTCTTTCCTTTTTCTTGAGAATTTCCTTGAGCTGCATTTAAATTTGGCATTGCATTAGACATTTGAACAACAAGATAAATGGTATATCCAATGACTAATATATATAAGTACATTGCAAAGAAAGAGAAAGAACTCAAAAACTGAATGATTGAAGAGAAATAAAGAATGTCATGGATATAATCCATTAATCCTTCTGCTGATAAGTCTGATCCACAATCAATTAATTCTCCATTCTCATACAATGGCCTACTTATAGAGAATGTATAAATTAATGGAATACATTGGAATAATGCGTTAATAATAAATACGAAATATGCTGTTCCTGTTAATGTTCCTTTAAGGAATCGATAAAACACAAAGAAGAACTAAATTATAAGTTATATTTTTATAAAGAATGAAAGTATGTTATTAAATACAAACAATAGAAAGAAAAACAAAAGCAAATGAGATGAGTAATTTTTGCTTATTTCTAACTACAGTTTTCTTCTGAGACTGATTTGCCATTAAATTTTTTAGTTTCTTTTTTTCTTGTTTTTTTTAATCATTTAATAAAAAAGAACTCATTAAAATTAGTTCAATATGGTTTGATTTTAATACCTCTTTTTTAATATCTCTTTTTGTTATACAATTAATGTTTTAGTTATTTTATTCATTCTTTAAAACGCTAATTGGAAAAGAAGTTGTTGTAGAATTAAAAAATGATGTAATAATAACAGGAACATTGATTGCTGTAGACCAAATGTTAAATATTAAGTTGAATAATTTAAAATGTGACGCAACATTATTCCCTCAAATAGTTTGGTAAATTCTTATTTTAACTTACCTTTTTTTGCAAATTAATATTGAAAATATAGCAAACAATGACTGATTGTTTTATTCGAGGAAATACTATACGGTATGTTAGTATGGCAGAAAATAACATTGATGTTCAATTGCTTCATGATGCTACTCTCTTAGAATTAAATGAAATTAAAAGTAAACAATAACTCATTTTTTAATAATAATTATTTATTTTATTTTGCTATTAACAGTATGTTATTAGTCATTCTCGAGTATGAATAATAGAGACAACTTCTATTTTAATACTGAATTAGTTGGTTTTATTTATTTTAATTTACTCTGTCAATATTTTATTTTTAAACTAGAGTCTTATTATATTGTTTTGCCTTTTTTATCAAAAAATATTCTTGAAATTGGAAGTTGAATATTCTTCTCATTAATATGACTTATCTTCAACAATCATTTTTTTTCATAATATATAAATCTAACACTTTATTTATTTTTGTTAAATTTGTGTTGAATTTATATATTTTATTATGTCAAAAAAGTTTGAAGGTTTATTTCTAATAGAAAAGGAAATTGTTCTTTTCAAATTGTTTAACCTCACAAAAAATAACTTTATCATTTTCAAACAATTTCCAATTCACATTTTTTAATTAATTAATAACTTGAATTTAAATCATTTTGCATAGATTATTTTCATCCTAGATGATATAAATTAATGGAATTTCATTTTACTAAATGCTTTTTAATTTTAATATAAAGGAATCTAAACTAAAAAAAAATAGAATTAACAAAAAAGGAAAAAGTTAATTAAAAATCTTAAAAAAAAAAAAGGAAAAGGAAAAGAATTAGTTAGTGTTAGAAATGACTATATCAACTATTCAATCTTATAAAACAAATGTCAATATATTAATAACTGCTATTTGTTTGGTTGTATCATTTCTTTCTGTTGGATTCTTTGCTGAATATTTGTTTGTTTATGTTGTGTAATTACAATAAATAAATGTAAAAGAAATTAATACATTCATCTATTAGAACAAAACACCAATTTGGTAAAGACAAGATTTTATTTACTGCAACTAGTGCATTAGTATTTCTTCAGGCAAGTTTCAGTACTCTTGGAGCATATGTCCTGATTAAAATAACAAAACAACACTTTGATATAAAAAACATTCCCCATAAAAGATTTGTTATTCAAAGTCAGGCATATTGTGGTGCAATGTTCTTTTCTAATAAATCATTGTTATATATTGATTATCCAACTCAAATTATTACCAAATTTTTTAAACCAATTACTGTTATGTTATTTAGTATTTTTTATACTAAAAAATATGAAATAAGACAGATTATATTCAGTATTATTACATTTAGTGGAATAGCTATGTTTATGTATGACAAATTTGCTAAATTAGATACTTCAAAATATTCAGATTTTTCATTCTTATTTGGACTAATACTAATTGTTACATCATTACTTTGTGATGGAATAGCATCAGCAGAAGAAGATATTATTGCTCATGACTATCAAGTACCATTATTCTATACAATGATGTATGCTAATTTTTATGCCATTCCATTATTTGCTATTATTTCAATAGTCACAGGAGATTTGCAACAAATGATAAGTATTATATCACAAGATATAGAATTTCTATTAATTATTATTTGCTATGTTTTTTGTTCCGTTTGTGGACAATACTTTATTTACAGGTTAATTACATTAGCTAATTCATTACTTCTTGTTGCAGTAACTAATACAAGAAAGATTGTAACAATGATTATTTCTGTTATTGTATTTAAACACCCAATCACAAAACTACAGATATTTGCTATTTTTATTGTTTTTGGCACATTATTCATTGACATTATGACAAGAAAACCACAACAAAAACAACCGCAACAACAAAGTTCAGAAAATACTAAGAAGAATAATTAAAACAAGTCTTTTCATTTTTGTTTTCTTTGACAAATTAAACTAACAAATTCGTTTAACAAGAATAATAACAAAAAAATAAACTTATAAAACAAAAAATATTAAAAAATAATAAATAAAAAAAGTTAAAAGAACTTTGAAAAAATGAAAAAAATAAAATGAGTATAACGCCATCTCAACACACACTTGATGCTAGTTTAGAAGCAAAGATGAAAATTGTTGCACAAAGAGAACAACAAACACAATATCTTGAAGAAAGAAAAAATAGAAAAGAAATATTAGAGAATTATCTAAAGAATTCAAATTTAAGTGAAAAAGATAAAAATGAATTGAGAGAGGAATTAAATGAAAAAGAAAGTGAGTATATGAGATTTATGAGAGCAAAATTATCACCTAAAGATTTTGAAACTATCAAAGTTATTGGAAGAGGTGGATTTGGAGAAGTTAAACTTGTTGTTAGAAAAGGATCAAATGAAGTATATGCCATGAAATTAATGAAAAAGAAAGATATGATTGAAAGAAAACAAATTGAACACGTTAGGGCTGAAAGAGATATATTGGCACAAACACATTTTACAAATGATTGGGTAGTTAAAATGTATTATTCATTTCAAGACGAAGAATATTTATATATTGTAATGGAATATTTAGGAGGAGGAGATATGATGTCATTATTAATTAAAGAAGATATCTTTACAGAGGAAATGGCAAGATTTTATATTGCAGAGTTATTCCTTGCTATAGACTCAATTCACAAACTGAGTTATATTCATAGAGATATTAAACCAGACAATATATTGATTGGATATGATGGTCATATTAAATTAACTGATTTTGGACTTTGTACTGGATTTCATAGAATTGATACTTCTATTACATTAAAAAGTCTTATTGAAAAAGCACAAAAAGAACAAATAAAAGTAGACCTTGGTGTAACTACTATGAAACAAATGCATGATTATAAACATCGTTCTCGTGATTTAGTATATTCTGTTGTAGGAACACCTGACTATACTGCACCAGAAGTATTTGAACGAGTAGGATATGGTAAAGAATGTGATTATTGGAGTATTGGATGTATTTTATTTGAAATGGTATGTGGATTTCCACCATTTTTAAGTGATGATGCAGTACAAACGTGTTTAAAGATTGTTAATTATCCAGAATCTTATAAATTTCCATCAAGATTAGATTTAAGTGATGAAGTTAAAGACCTTATTCATCATCTTATTTGTCCTGTCAATAAAAGATATAGTTCTATTGAAGAAATTAAAGCACATCCATTCTTTAAAGGATTTGATTTTAGTTGTGTTGAGAAAAATACACCTCCTTATCTTCCCAAACTAAGCTCTATGTTTGATACAAGTAATTTTGAAGACTTTGAAGAAGAAGAAAGTTTTGACGCTAAAATATCACCTCAAGATACAAAGAATCTTGCATTTGTTGGATATACATACAAAGGATTTTTAAATGTATGTAATCCAAATAAAAAGAAAGTTTCACACAGTGGTGTTACTTTAGAACAAATATTTACCTCACATGAAAATACTAAAACAAATTAATTCTTTTCTTTCATTTTTGAATTTTTAAAAATGAAATGATTTTTGACTATCAAATCAATTATTAATAATTATAATTAATATTTGTTTGCAATTAATTTATTTTATTTTCAAAATTATAAAATCTTTCCCAAAGTGGTGGTAATCCTTTGTGAAGAACAATTGGTGAACATCCATCTTTAGCATAACGAATAGAGTTTGAATTTGAAAATGAAAAGATTGCTGGTAATCCTGCAGGAAAACACATAAGCTGATCACATATTGTGTTTGATGTTTTACAATTAATTATTTCAAAACTTGTTATAATACTATTAATAAAGTGTTATGACTATTTATTAATAGTATTTGCGTATATTATCTTGGTGCACAATATAAAATACAATAAAAAATTGTAGAATAGAGTAATTCTTCATTGAAATGGAAAGTTCATTGCTATTTTCTTTTAGAATAAAATTTTTGGATATGTTTATGTATAAATCCACAAAATAACTTCCTTTTTAATAGTTTATTGAAGTGAAATTATGGTTTTCTGGTTGTTCATTACTTAACAACATCTGAGTTTTTCATAAAATTAATTTGTGTGTTGTGTAAGTTATATTTCTAACATAAAAATTGTTGTCATAAGTAAAAATGTTAATAAGTTTTTGTGGTGCAATACCAAGTTATGTCATAGAAATACCCCCCAGCTCTGATACTTCAATTTCTTGAGTAACAATTAAATGCTTCAGTAAAATAAATATTGAAAAAGGTGTTATGTTCATTCTTTTCATAACTCAATTTATAACACTTAAAAATCTATGAAGATAAAGAAAAAGAATAAACTCTGTTGGTTTTAAGAATATCTTTCTACTACTAGATAGAGACATTATATTGTCTAATGATGTTTTATTAGTGAATGGTTCTTGTTACACAAATAAGAAATAAATCAAAAAGATAAAGAATATAAGAAAATATGAATGAATTGATATTCAAACCATAATAAGAAAAGCCTATCAGTCAAAAGGATGAAAAAAAAACTACAAAAACAAGAAGTTCAAAGAAAAGGCAATGAACAAAGGATTTTTATCTAAGAAGAATTTTCATCCAGCCAAACTATCCAACCAAAAGAAAGTCTGGGAAGCTGAGAGACGTAAAGAAGAAGAGAGACATCAAATTGAAGTGCTAAAGAAAGAACGTCTTGAAGAGCTTGAACGAGAAGAAGAAGCAAAGAGGAATTGTCTATTAAAAGGAGAGAAGTATGTTGAGAGACTTAATTGGATGTATGAGGCACCAATAGGATTTGAAGAACAAGCAAAGGAAGAAGTTGTAAGATAAGAAGACAAAGAAGAAAAACAGAATGATAAAGAAGAAAGTCAAAAGAAAATAAGCAGAGACCCAATAGTTATGGCACAAGAAAGAAGGAAGGAAGAGATACAAAAAATCATGAAAAACCCAATGAAATTAAGAGAAATAGAAGAAAAGGAAATTAAACGACTAATTAACCGATGGGATATAGACAAGACACAACGAGAAAATATTCAAAAAAAGATTTGGATAACTAGTGAAAAAGGTAAAGTTGGAGAAGAAATTATTAGGAAACATGATGAATTATTTAAGTGGTGGAGAGAGATGAAAAGAGAACAACGGATGACAAGAAATAATAATTAATTCACTCTATTATACCCATTCTGAGGAATGTTATTACTCAAATTCTGTATTAAACTAGTAAATTCATTTAATACTTTTCCTTCAGCTAATTGTTCAATACAGTCAAATAACATAACTTCTCCTAATGATTTAATTAATGTTCCAATTAAACCAATCACTTGAGAAGAGCACATTAGTAATAATATTGTAAAATAAGAAACACTTCCACCATAATATATGAAGGAAAGAAGAAGAACAAGAGTCATGACTAATCCGCACATACTTGATTCAAAGATATTAATTAATTCTTTTAAATGTAATTCATCAAAAATACTACTCATTGAACTTTGTTTAATTTTTTCATTTAGTCCACATCTAGAATGAATATAAGTATGTCCATAATATCCGATAAATACAAAAGGTGAAATAGATGTTTGAGTTGAATTATTTTCTTCAATAAATTTTTTTAATTTCATTCCAATAAATGTTGTACCAATTGGTATCTTTATTAGTAATTTGCATAATGAAATTGCCATTGAAATAAAACTAGATTCAATAGCATATGATGCTGATCCTAAACGATATGAAAATGTTTTGATTAATGCTTCTATTGGATGAAGCCCTTTGTTTTCATGTAATTTATATGAAACAGTCGCTGAGAGGAACATTGTAATTATTGACTCAAAGATATAATAAAACATATTAGAAAATATCATTAATAAGACACTTGCAACAAAACCCATTGGTGGTGTAATGCCTGGATATCCTATTAGATTTAATGAAATGATACTATGAAATATTAACATAATAATAATTGTAAAGATAACAATCAACATAATTGTAGGAAGGATAATTAATATTGATGAGAAGAAAAAACTGAATGAGGTGTTATAAACAATAGATGTAATTGTCCAATTAAAGTTGAAATACCCCACTTTTTTATAAATTAAAGGAATAACAATAACAATAGTAAGAATTAATTCTAAAGGATGATGTGATAATCCATTATTCATTCCTAAATAAAAGAGTAATACAGGAAATATAATTGTTGGTATTATAACAGAAAGAACTAAATTTAAACTATTCAATAAATATCATTTTAGAATAAAATATATTAAACACAAACTAAGTAATTATTGTTGGTAAAATACGATAGAACAAAAGAGTTCCAATGAATAATAAAATAATTATAATTACTGAAACTATTAAAATATTGTAATGTACATAACTAAACAATTCTCCTGAAATCCATTGTTTTTGAGAAGTATTAACATACACATTTCTGGGGTCTTTAACAAAACCCATAACAGTAAATAAAGTAATCCATAACATAAGTAAAATAACTGTTGCTAATCCTTTTCTATCATTTAAACGATCAATTTTAAAATATGCTGATTTATCAAATGCTTCTTCTGGAATAGGAATTTCCATTAACTTTTATTAAATCAAAAATTTTTTTTAAGTTCTTTTCTTCCTAAAAAATTCCTTTTTACTTTTCTTGCTTCATTTTTATTTTTCTTTTCTCATTCAAAAGAATAATAAGATTGAATATTGCTTTATTAAAACATCATTTAGTCTTATTAACATGGTTTGTGGTACCAAACCTCTTTTGTTTCTCTTATATTGTCCTGAAGAGACAATTAAAACCCTTCATATCATTTTTCCTGTATAATCGGGAATTTCTCTAATTATTAAGAACTTTAAAATAAAAAAAAATCTTAAACGTTAGATTATCTTATGTCGAACGAAGATACTCCGAAAGTGATATTGAGCACATATCCAACAAATTTAATGATAAACCAACCAGCAACAATTCGTTATCAAACACTTCGGAAATTAGTAACAGGATTTGAAAAAGTAGGTGCTGTTGCATCAAGTGAAAAATTGACGGAGGCAGTGTTTCGTGTATTAATAAGTAATGAGGCAGATAAAACTTACAAAGATGCTTTGATTCAAATAGTTCCTAAATTAGTTAAAGTGTTAATGAAAGGACCAGATGCAGATGAAAAAACAAAATCAAGATGTATCCAATGTTTTATTCAACCATTATCTGACTTTTTAGTTGGAACAGAAAGTTCTGCATTAATAAAATCATCAGCAGCAAGAGCATTAATAGCAGCATATTCGTATCTTGATGATGATACATTTAAATATTTTCTTGTTCCTGTTGTTAGAGGGTCATTTACAGAAGAAGATTATCAAGAAACAACTGTTGTTGATGTTGTATTAGGCATAATGCCAAGATTAGTAGAAAGTGATTATGGATGGATTGCACGTGGTATTGAAATATTTTATGGAAATGAGACATATAGTTATAGAAAGGAAGCACTTAGAATGATTTGTTATTTGGCAAGTAATAAATTTAACAAAGAGGCAATGCAAAAATACATTATGAAAATTTATTTGAAAATCCCTCATGATAAAGCATGGATTATTAGAAGAGAATTTGTTAGATCAATGGAATATGTAATTGATAAAATTTTTGATGAAGATGTTGATAGTGTGTACAATCAATATATTGAACTTACTCATGATGAACAAAAACAAGTTGTTGCAGGATGTATTGAAATATTACCAACAATTATTAGAAATGAAAGAATTCAATATAAAATGAAAGAATTAAATTTCATTGATACTTTTAGAAAACTCACAACTTTTAATGATAATGTTGATGTTTGTCTTATTAAAATAATTCCTTATCTTATCAAATTATATCCTGAAGAAGAAGAATATTTTCTTAATCTTATGGAAAAGAGTTGTGATTCAATAGAAGAAATTATGAGAAACACAGTTAATATTATCTTTAAACAAGTATTTGATCTTGCACATAATAAGAATATTTTACTTAATATTTTTGAGAAATTAGCTAATGACCAAAGTGCAGGTATTAAAAGTGAAATGAGAAGATATATTTGTGATGTATTATCATTAGATACAGGAAGATTTAGTGATTTATTTAGAAGTCTTGTTGAAGAAAGTAATTTCCGAGTGAAAGTTAGTATTGCTCAACATCTTCCAGTGTTAAGAACAATGTCATTTTATGATGATGTACTTGTTAAACTAACAATGAGTGGATTTTTTGGTGTTCGAGAAGTTGCTTTAAAAGAAATTGAGAATTGTTTAAAAGAAAATGAAAGTAAGAGAAGTATATTATTTAATCAATTCTTGACCTATCAAAAAGGTAATTGCCATCAACGACAAGCGTTTGTCTCTTTTTTTCTTTTATTTTTAAATTAACAATTTAATGAAATAAATAACATATAGATTGGCTTATGCATTTGTTGCTGTAAGTAAAGGAAATGAAGAATATACAACAAAAGCTACTCCAAACTTAATTCTAATGTTAGATGATCCGATTTCTAATGTTAGAATTAGTACTTTAATTGCATTAGGAAAACTTCATTCATCTTCACAAGATGTAAAATTTGCACTTTCAACATTATTAAAGAATGAACATGATACTGATGTCCACAATATCGCAGAACAAATATATGCGAGGATTTGTTAAGTTTGATGTATTATCAACATTTTAATGTTAAATTTTTTACTTTTTTATGTTATTTATAACTCTTTTTAAGTATTGAAAAAACTCTAAATCCATAAAATTCTTTTAAATCACAGATGATATAAAATTATTCAATTTCATATTTTAATTCTTCTTTCATATTTTTTATTTTCTTTGTTAATTTATTATAATTAGAAATTAAAGAAGGAGGCATTAATTAGTTTATTAGTTAGAGTATAAAAATAAGTCATAGATATATAATTTAATAATGACAGTCTTGTTTTTTAAAACAGTTTATTGAAGTTAAAAAGACTCTCTTTAAATAAAAAAATACTCATATCATTACTATGAATCAGTACAGCCAATAATTAAATACAATAACTAAATATATTTTGTATTTAATTACATTTTATATCCTCTAGGTAATAATTACTTAAGTTTTAATAATATTTCTAAAAACAAGTGAATAGTTAGTAAATGTGTTGGTGAGTACTATGCTATGTCTTAAATAAATAATTAAGCCAAAGTGTGTTTTAACATAATTTCTAGCTTTTTCAATGATATAATACAAAAATTAAAAACTAAATTTGGAAGGATTTTAGTCTTCTATTTTCAACCTCTTATAATTTTTAATATTTAAAAGCAAAAAACGTTAAAGATATTCTTTTGTTATAGTTTGTTTTTGACTAAATACTTTTTAAGTAGAGTTGACACGTGAATTTCTTCTTAATTTATTTATTACAAGAAAAATAGCATTTTAATTTATAAAACACAGAGAAAATAAATAAAGATAAATAACAAAATTAATTTTAATAAGTATTTTTATTTCATTAAAAGAGTTATATTATTATTATAATAAAAATCCTATATGAAACTAAATTAATTTATTGAATATTACTGTGGTATGGGAGCTCCAATGCCAATTTGTGTAATATTCACATTATTTGTATTGTTTAAAAAATACTTATTACACACAAAAAGAAATTACATTGAATACATTCAAATTATATTAATGCTACTTACAATTATGTCACTAATTACTCTCCATCTTCTTGCATTTCTTGTGTTCCTTTGTTTATACATTTCATTCCCACTTACTATAACTGAAACTCCAAGAAATCTTGCAAGTGGTTTTGATTCTCCAATTCACAAAGAAACAGAAGAAGCATTAAAACCATATTTAAAACCATACACTCTTCCATTTTGGATTTCAGGAGGAATTCTTCAAACTATTATAGGAGGTGCGGTTCGTTTTAAATGCCCAATTATTGAATTTGACAGAACAATGGTTAATGCTCCTGATGGGGGTGAATTTGCTATGGATTGGGGACAGAACCAAGAACAATTACCTGAAGATGCACCTATACTACTTATCTTCCATGGGCTTGCTGGTGGTTGCAGAGAGCCATATATTCAACGAAATTCATTTTATGCAATGAAAGAAGGTTATCGATGTTGTGTATTAACTAATAGAGGGTGTGCAGGAACAACATTAAAAATACCTAAAGCATATCACTCGTGCTTATTTGATGATCCTATGCAAGCAATTAATATTATTCATCAAAAATATCCAACAGCACCAATAGATTTAATGGGATATTCATTAGGAGCAAATACAATATTAGGATTGGTTAGTAGACATTCTAAATTTTGTAAAGAAAGAAATGTTGTGTGTTGTGTTGCTATTTCACCATCACCATACCTTATATCTATGATGTTATCATTATGCCCTGCATTAGATGAAACGTTTTCTTCATTTGAGTTAAAATTAGTTAAAAAGAATCAAAACGCTTTCTTAGAAGAAATTAAGAAAGGAAAAATGGTTGGGGATGTTCCAAAGATTTATATGTCAAAATCAATGAAACAATTTGATGATGGTTTTACTTCAAAGGCTTTTAACTATGGTTGTCCTGCAAATTATTATTATGACGTAGAACAAATGCACCACTTTCTACCTAAATGTTATATTCCATGTATATCTCTTAATTCAGCAGATGACCCTGTTGCTATTATGACACGTGCCTTATTTGAACGATCAAGAACTATTGCATCTGTTTCACCATTTTATACTCCATTAGCAACAAAAACTGGTGGACATTTGTCTTGGACATTTAAAGAAGGAGAAAAAGGATATTACGATGATTTATCATTAGGTTTTATGAAGAAGATGAATGAATTATTTAAATCAGGTAAGTTGAATGAAATCCAACAAGAATTTCTTCAATTAAATGAATTAAATTAAAGTTGATTATTATAAAGAACAACTTATTTGGTTTATTTTGTAATTTCCTTAATTTGTTGTTCATTGATAGAATGCCCTTTACAAGCAGCACCATAGTTACCAGTTTGTGTGTCCATTTTCATTTTAGGTTGTCCAAACTCATCATATTCAACTTTAGGCTTTACTTTAGTATCAAATGAAAATTCTGGTCCATCACTTTTTGGTACTTCGTTTGATACAACTGGTTTTTGTGGTTTCATTCCCCAGTCTATACCAGTAGTACCATCTTCATTCTTCTTTAATTTTGGATCAACAGTACTGTTAACAGTCATAGCAGGTGCATTAGTGTTAATTTCATCACCATCCATGGCAAATTTAGGTTTTACAGTAATTCCAACTCCAAGTTTCTTTTTTCCATTTTCATCAGTAACAATAGTTGGTTTAACAGATGTTTGCATAGTGACACTAGGATCAAATTCAGCATCTTCTCTTCCAGTCATGCGTTGAGCAGTTTTCTTTTCTCCTTCTTTCTTAGCTACTTGGAATTGTTCACTTTCATAGACTTCTTTAGAAATTGTTTTTGTTTGTTCTTTGGCTTGTTTCCATTCTTCAGTTTGAGACGCCTTTTCATAACTTGTTTTAGCTGTCTTACTAGCTTCTTTTCCTCGTTGTTTTAAATCTTTTTTTTGGTCTTCGTCAAGATCTGGTATATCTTTTGTTGACTCTTTCCAAACATCTTTTGCTGATGCATCTCCTTTAACAGCTGACTTAGTTCCTTTAGCAAGTCCACTAGTAAATGCTTTAAATTGTTTACTATGAACAGCTGCTTTAGCACCACTAGCAACTTGACTTTTAGCTTGTTTAAACTCTTCACTTTTAACTGCTTTCTTAGCACCAGAATATGCTGTTTTTCCAGCTTTGGAAGCCTCTTCTTTTGCATGTTTTTTTTGTTCTTCAGTCATAGATGGCATTTTATTATATACATCTTTAACATCTCCAGCAATGTCTTTAGCTAATTCTTTTTTTTCTTTTGATTCATTTTGTGTATCTTCTTTATTTCTTTGAGACGCGTTAACTGATAAATGTTCAGGAATTGGTGGTGCTTCATGTTTGTGTTCAGGAATTGGTGGTGCTTCATGTTTATGTTCAGGAATTGGTGGAACATATTCTTCTTCACTAATTGTTGGGTGACCAGGTGGTGGTGCAACTTTCTTCTGAGGTACTGGTGGTGCGTTTTTTGTCGGAAGAGGTGGTGCACATTTTGAAGGTGTAGGAGGTGCTATTTTTTTTTGAGGAACAGGAGGTATAGGCTTAGACTGTTCTCCTGGAATAGTAAACGTTCTTTTTTGAAAGGTCATCACTAAATTGTAAGATCCAGATTGAGTCAAAAGGATTTACTTCAATAAGAAGCATCTTTCTACTTTGATTTTTGTTTTTCTTTTTTATAAGAGTCTATTCAAATAATGAGGATTTGGAGTAGAAAACTATTCTTGAAACAGTTTTTGGTAAAATCTTATTTTATGATAATCTATCTATCTCTAAAAAGTACAATCTCACTTTTTACTGATAAAATATAACAAAAAAGCATAACTATGAAAATAATCTATCAGTAGCAATTTGTACATTGCATTTAAATTAAATCTTCTGAGTCTATAAGACAAAACTAAACACCAAAGATGTATTATAAAAAAAACTTAAGTAACTAGAAAACCTAAAGATCTTAACCCTATAAATCTTTTCTAGTTAAATTATGTTCAAACACATAAAACACCAAACATTAAGAAATAAAAATTAATAGAAAAATAATTAAACATAAAACTATTTTGAAACCCCAGTAAATAATATAGACACTATAAAAACAACTAACCCTTTTATAATCAGTACAATGGGATTCCTTAAGGTTATCAAGAACAGAGCTTACTTCAAGAAATACCAAACTCAATTCAGAAGAAGAAGAGAAGGAAAGACTGACTACTATGCTAGAAGAAAGATGATCTTCCAAGATAAAGATAAATTCAAGACTCCAAAATACAGAGTTGTTGTTAGAATTACTAACAAAACTGTCATTGCCCAAATTGCTTACTCAGAAATTATTGGTGATAAGATCCTTTGTGCTGCTTACTCACATGAATTACCAAGATATGGAGTTAAATTAGGTTTAACTAATTATGCTGCTGCTTATTGTACTGGTCTTCTTCTTGCTAGAAGACTTCTTCAAAAACTTGGTATGGACAAACAATTTGTTGGAGTTTCTGATGCTGCTAAACTTGGTGAAGATTACACTCCAGAAGAAGTTGATGAAAGAAGACCATTCAAATGCATTCTTGATGTTGGACTTGCTAGAACTACCACTGGATCTAAAGTCTTTGCTGTCCTTAAGGGAATGTGTGATGGAGGAGTATATGTCCCACACTCTGCTACCAGATTTGCTGGTGCTGGTGAAAATGAAGAAGCTCTTAGAAGCAGAATCCTTGGTGGACACGTTGCTGCTTATATGAAATATCTTTCTGGTGAAGATGCTGATCTTTACAAGAAACAATTTGGTAGATTCATTGCTGCTGGTATTGCACCAGAAGCTCTTGAAAATATCTACATTGAAGCTCATAAGAAGATTAGAGAGAATCCAGCTGCTGAAAAGAAAGAAAAGAAGGAACACAAGAAATATCCAACTTCCAAGAAACTTACTCTTGAACAAAGAAAAGCTGCTATTCAAGCCAAACTTGCTAAACTTGCCCAACAAGCTTAAGTAGACCCTTATTGTGTTATTTCTTTGATTTTTATTGGTTTATTATTTATTTGAATATAATAATATAATAAATAAAATGAAATAATGAAAAAATATATATTAAATTTCACTTTCTATTGACTTTTTTGAATGATTTATTATTTAATTTAAATAAATAATTAAATTTTTTTTAGAAATATAATAAATGAGGTTATAAGAAGATTAATAATTAAGTAATAAAGAATAAATATTTTTGAATGAAAAACAAAATATAATATTATAAAAAGGGCAGAACTTAAAAATAAATAAAAGAAGAAACTAAATAGAACAATGAAAATTCTAACATTCTGTAAAGTTATATTATTGTCAATACTTTGTTTTATTATATATATTCCAACTTATTTTGTTTATGGACAAAGTGAACCTGAAGTTCAAATATTACATACTTCAATAACCTTTGTAGTATGTTTTATTATTTGTTGTATTGTTGCATATAAATTTTGTGATAAAACAGAAAAACCAACAAGAGTTAATGAAGTACCATTAAAATCATCTAAGTCAAATTATATTCAACATTTACCAAAAGTAACTCCAATTCCAAAAACATCAATTGTTCCAGGAAATTCTAATACTTATGATATTCAAAAAAAAGAACAACACTTATTATTAAAAATACAAGAAAAAGAAAATGCACTTAAATTTGAAAGTGATCCACAAGTTCAAGCAGATAGGAGAGTAGAAATTCAAAAATTAGAATTCGAATTAGATGGTATTAGACAAGCTATGAAAATGAAAAATGATCAAGCAAGAAAAAGAGTTTCAACTGCTTGAATATGAATGAAAAAGTTAATTTAAAATACTTTTTTTAAATGAATTTATTAAGTCATAAATAAAAAGAAAGAATTTCAAATAGTTATGTTTCTTCTTTATATTAATTTTCTTACAAACCAATCAAATTAAAATATCAAAATATATTTTTTCAATCATTTATTATTGTGGGAAATCAAAATCAATATGAAGTTCTTCTAATTTCTTTCTTAATTCTTCATTTGAAGCTTTTCTTTCATCAACATCTTTTTGAGTAATAACTTTGATTTGTGGTTCTTTTCTTCTTTGTTCTTTTGAAACTGGATAAGTTGAATGAAATCTACGTTTTTTTGCTTCACATAATTCTGTACGAAGTAATCGATTTTCTAAAATATGATTATTTAATGTTTCTGCTACTATACGTGCTACTACACAATCAGCAAATTTAACAACACAAGTTCCTTTACTTACTCCATAATCAGTTTTCTTAATAGCTAATCCTTTTAATTCTCCATATTGAGAGAAATATCTTCTTAAATCACGTTCATCAAGAATTTTTGGAAGGTTATAAATACGAACAATTGGTTTATTTGCTTCTACATCTTTTGGTGTTATTTCAGCAAAATCTGATGATTCAAATTGCATTAATTGTAAATGTATTTTTTTAGTAAATTAGGGTTTACTTAATATTTTAATAGTTCATTATATTATTATAATATTATCAAAACTGAAATTATGAACTTCAATAAGAAAGAATTTAACTTTCAAGCAAAAAAAATTGTTAATTGTCTTAATAAATTAGGAAAATATCAATGGAAATGGGATACAAGAGGATTTATTATTCATTCATGTGAATTAGGTGAATTACTTCAAGTTGATGATAATCATTGTAATGAAGAAATTTATGAAGAAAAAGATGATACTATTTGTCAAATACAACAAAAAAGATATTATTTTATTCATCATATTCTTTATAATACATCTTATCAAGTACCTCAATTTGGAGTATCTTTATTTGATAAAAAGGAAAATAAATATATTACTCAATTAGAACAAGCAACAACTTTATTATCACACCTTAGTGGAATTGAAAAGTGTGATAATAATAATCCATTAAATCTTTTTATTACAATGAATGAACATCCATTAATAGAAGATTATTATATGTTTTTTATTCATCCTTGTGGTACTTCATCTTCATTACTTCCAATTATTGAATTTTCATTATCTGATTATCTTATTTGTTATTTAAGTTCATATGGTCCATATTTATGTTGTTTTGAAAATTGGTTATCAGTACAACATAAATTAATTACTGAAAATCAAAATTAATTACATATTTGAATAGGAAGAAGTCCACAAATTTCATGTATTCTATAAACAGCTTTCCATGAATTTTGATGTCTACTTCTTTGACTAATTTTAATTAACTCTTTAACCATTCTTTCTTTTTCAAATAAATTCATTTCTACTTTTTTACCATCAGTTAATTTAATTCCATGATATCGAAGAATAATATTAATAAGAACTTTAATATCATAATTTTTAGTAATATTTTGGTAGTTTGTATTTAATAAATTAATTTGTTGAAATGTTTGAAATAAATTATTTTTAGCAAGAATCATAAGAGAATTTTCATTTAAAAGAACTTCTTCTTTTTGTTTTTGAGAATTAATAATTCTTGGAAATACATTAAATTTTTTTATTTTAAATAACTCTAAATATTTCATACTTTTAATTAATTCTTTATGTTTCATTATTTCATTATAACAAATAATATTCATAATTTGTTGTGTTAATTCATTTCTATTAATTTTTTTTGAATATTCATCATTTAAATATTTTAAATAATTTAATGCATCTTTTAAATCTCTTTTCATTTCTTCTTTATAGTCTTCAATAATTTCTTTTACTATAAGAAATTTTAATAATATAATAAAATTAAATTTTGTTTGTATTTGATTTAATTTAAAAATACATTTTCTTTTATCATTATCATAATAATCATTAATACTATCAATAATAATATTAATTTCATTTTCTTTCATTTCTTTTTCATGAAATAGAATTATTTCAATAATATTATTTATTGGTATTATTTTTAATAATACTGTTAATAAAACTATCATTTCTTCTGTATGAAATTCTATTTGAATTTCTTTTTCTATTTCTTTTAATATTTTTAAACTTTCTTTTGTTTGTTCTTTACTTATTTGATATTTAATTCCATATAAACAATGTTGAATAACTATTTTATCTTTGATTGGAATTGGAATAATTTTATTAATAACTTTTCCTATTCTTTCTAGTTCTTTTTGAATAAAGTTTTTTCTTTCATCATTAAATTTATTAATTAAAATACAAATGTCATAACTTAATATATTTTGACTTAATGCATCAATAAACATAATTCTATCTTCTGTTGAATAACTATTTTCTTCACTTATTTCTTCAATTAATTGACTTTCATTTTCAATATATTCACTTATTTCATATAATTCTTTTGTACTTATTTCAATGATACTTTTACTAAAATAAATATTATTTAATGCATTTGATATTTTTTGATATTTTCTTTCCATCATTTCAAATTCTTCTTTTGTTACAATTGAATTAAGATAAAAAATTCCTCGTTCTGAAATAATTTTTTGAATTGTTTCATTTCTAGTTTTTTGTGTTTCTTTTGTTACAATTATTACTTCATTATTATCAATTTTTTTAAAATGAGTATTTAGTGAATCTTTAATACATATAGTAGTAATATTTCCTTCTGTTAGTTCTTCATTAAATTGAATTATTCTTTTCATCATTTCTTCTTTTGTTTCATTTTCTTTTGATATATTTTTAATATAATCTTTTAAAATTTTGTTTTTATCATTTCTTTTTAATTTTCTTAATCTATCTTTCATTATTTCTACATTATTTATTTCATTATCTTTACTATTTATCCATAATTCAATAATACTTTCAATCATTTCATCATTAATATTTTTTAATAATAAAAACCATCCATATTTATTAATTTTTAAAATGATGTTTTGATTTTTTTGAATGAATTGAATAAGTTTTCTTTCTATATATTTTTCACAAACTGTATAATACTCATAATATTCTCCTTCTTTACATCCTAATTTTTCATTAATTATTGTTATTAATTCTTCATTTAATTGACGATTAATACAATAATTAATTCTACAATATGTTTTTATTCTTTCATTATTTGAATTAAAAATACAATTCAGTGTATGATATTCTTCAATTTCTTTTTTATTCATTTTATCACAAACACATGACTCAATATATTCAATTTCAATATTTGATTCATAACATAAATACATGGGATTTTCTATTAGTTCTTCTATTTTTTCTTTGTCATTTTCTTCTTCATTAAGATACAAAAAAAATTTATTATACATTGTTTTTACTTCATCATAATAATTCTTTTCAATTAATTTCTGAATAAGTTGGTCTTTTCTTGATTCCATTTATTTTTTTTTTAGTTCATTAGTTTTATTTATGAAATAAATTATGTTATATATTCCAAATTTTTATAACTCATCTTTTAATCTTAAAAATTGAACAGTTAAAACAATTTAATGACACACCAATTTACTTTTATTAAAGATAGTATTTATCATTCTACTGGAGTCTTTGAATATAATGATGAATATTGGATTGCTCATTTAAAAGGAGAAGATCTTAAAGTTTCATGGAAAAATGTTACTGCATTGTCATTAGAGTATCGTATTTATAAAGATGGGAAATTCTTTATTGAATTAGAAGAAAGACAATTAGTAAAGTCCCATAATTTACGATGTGTCTACTTTTATTTTGAAAGAAAAGATTTCTTTGAATTAGAAAATTTTATTTATGAACATAAATTAAGTAAATTACCACATCCAAATCATTATCAAATGGAATATCCATTTGTAAAAATTTATTCAAAACATATGAGACAAGTATTAAACTTTTTAACAACAGTAATGAACACGTTAATGTTTTTAGTATTATTTGCTAAGTTATATAATTTTATTGATAGAAAGACTGGTGGATTAACTCGTTTACAAAATGAACTTTTATTATTAATGGACTGGTTCTCAGAAAGAATTCCAACTACTTCATTTGTTGTGAGTATTCCATTTTTACCTTGGAAATATACATTTTATTTTATTCGTTATTTAGTTAATTCATTAGATGAAATTTCACTTGTTATCTTCTATACTACTACAATGTTAATTTATGTCTTTAGTTATTGGAGAGGTATTGTCTCATCTTTAAAATTATTCTTAAACTTAATCCTTTTATTGAAACGCTTATGTAATACAATTAAAGAGACTATAATTGCTAAGAAACAACAAAATGAAATTAAACAAGAATAATTAAGTAATTATTCTTAAAAAATATCTCTTATTATTTTTTATTTGAACAACATTTCTTTACATTCTTTACGTTTCATTAAGTTATAACTGATTATTACTATTTAACAATATTTTATTGTGTTGACATTAAAATTATGATTGGTTGGTAATTTATAATAGAAAATAAATATCATTCTAAATAATACTGCATATGTTATCTAAATTTTTATGTTCATTAAAATAATTGGGACGATTAAACAAATAATATAAAACAATACTTTTTAGAAGTGATTGATAATTGCTACAAATACTGTTGATATGTTTTATATTACCTAAGATTATAATTTTGACAAAAGAATAGTTTAAGAAAAATAAATAATTTCTGATATACAATCAATTATAAAGGAATAAATAATCTTGTTTTCGTGAACATTAATCAAAAATTTTTGTTGTTATAAAAAAAATAGTATTTATAAATAAAATATAAGAGAGAATTAAATAAATTATATTCTTTAAGTAAGATAATATCATAAACGCAAATTTTATTTTGTATGTAAACTTTCTAAATATAAAAAATAAATGTTTTAGTGACTTAAATAGTAAATAAATTTAATAAAACTTGATTAATAATAAATGATTCAATCTTTAATGACGTGATAGAGAATTTAATAACATACGAAACAACACAACTTTTATTTCTTCAATTAACAAAAATTAAATAAAAACAAAATAAAAATTAGTATTCTTAATTCTTCTTATCCGTAATTCTTTCTGTTTTTTAGTTAATTCATTTTTGGTTGGATAGTATTAAAATTATAATTAAAATGAAGTTGTGAAATGGATATAATCTGATAGGTTAAATGAAGACATTTTTTATGTTTTTTAAAACACTTTTCAAATTCATACGATATGGGACATTGTATTGTTAGAAGTATCTATTGGCACAACACACCACCAAAAAAGAAATGAATAATAACTAATTGTAATTTTTATTTATTTTTTTTTATGATAGTTATGAACAACAAGATATTCTTCAAATGAAGGAATTATTGGATAACTGACGAGAAGAAAGAAAATTTGAAGAAGTTTTTCACTGATTTGATAAAAAGAATGATAAGAAAATTTTTTTTATTACAAATCAAATCCAATTAGATTTTAGTATTATATTGGTTTGTGACTACAATCTAAAAAAAGGTAATTTAGAATTAGAGTAGAATTAAATGATAAATAGACAAGAATAATATCGATGGAATTAAATTTAAGAAACAAAAGAAAGAATAACATAAGTAACTTCGTTCCTTTCTCAGAATTAAAAAACTAAAAAGTGAAAAAAAACTTGTTAATAACCAATTAACGGTTATATGTTTCAGATAATATTCATTTCTTTTATTGGATATCCATTGTTAGTATTAAGCCAAACGTGTAGTGGAACAGGTTGTGTAAAATGTATTGCTAATGAAACATGTTCTTCATGCAAAGATTTGTATGACCCTACAGATAATAGTTGTTCTACTTGTATTTCAGTAAATCCATATCAAGCTATAACACCAACAAATAGATTAGTTGTTTTAGAAAATGGAATTTGTACAGATAAAACAAGCCAAGTAAGAAAAGACTTTTCAGATATGCAAACTATTACACCAAATAACCAACCAATAACTTTACATTTTTCTACGTCAACTCAATACTCTACTGGTCCTTGTTCTTTTCCTTTAAATAAACAAATTCAATACAGAGGATCATATTGGATTAAAATTGATCTATCTTCTAAACAGAGTTCAGGCTCTCATGGGGTGTTTAGCTTTACAACTCCATCAGATGGTCCTGTTGTTGCATTTGATCTTACATCAGATACACCTACAACAACTGACAAAAAGTGTTATGCTCGTCAAGAAATTCAACCGGGAGGTGGAAAATTAATTGTTCCATTACCTAAAACAGAATATTATGCATTTGTTTCTATTGAAGACTTGACTACCTTTGATATTACTATTTCATTAGGGTTTACTGATGACTATATTAATAATCAACTTGAATTAACTCAACAAGATATTTCTCAATTACATAATTCTAATTTATTCATATTAAAGACTTTTACGATATCATCATCTGGTGTTTATGTTAATCCTGTTTGTGCACCAACAAAGCTAATGAAAGGTGCATTCTTTACTGTTGATTTTGAAGGGAGTTATAGTCTTCTTATTGACACTACAACCCAAAACAGATATTGTTATCTTATGGAATATACTACTGCAACAGATTCTACTCAAAGTTGTGTTGATTTTTGGGTTGGTGATTGGTGGGGTATTTGGTCTACAAGCGCTTATCTAGAGCAAGGACTTCGTGTAAGAATTAATGGAGAAGGGAGTAAAAAAAGATATTTCTTTTTAGGTACTAATGACCATTCAATTGATATTGAAGTTAGGTTTTCTACTATTTGTCCAAACCATTGTTATGAATCACAAGGTAATGGTAAATGTTCTGTAAAAAGTGGAGAGTGTGTATGTAATGATCAATATGGTGCAGATGATTGCAGAAAGTTATGTTATTATAATGGTAAATTTTATAATGGAAATACAACAGTTAATGGAGATGATATGTGTTATTTTGGAAGTGTAGGATGTGACTATGATTGTAAGTGTAAAGAATCTTCCTTAGAAGATCATTATTGTGTAAGTTCTGCATGTAAAAATAAAGACTTTAATGATGCCTCAGTTATGTGTATTTATAATACAAGTAATTGTCTGCCTAATTGTGTATGTGATAAAGGTTATGTAGTTACAAGTGATCATAGATGTAAAATTATGACATGTGGTAATTTAATATTAAATGAAGGAGAAGAGTGTGATGGTGGAACAAACTGTGATGATTATTGTCAATGTGTTGAAGGTTATGAAATTGATACTGTTAATATTGGGTCATGTAGGTCTAAGCCAATAGGTTGGTGGGTTTGGTTATTAATAGCTCTTGGGATTGTATTTATTTTTATTTGTTCTATTGTAATTATTTTCTTATTAATCCGATTTACAAAAGGGCATAAGATTGATTTGAATGTCTTTAAGACACAACAACCATCATACCATTATGATATTACACGATCTGTTCCTAGTGAACCAAGTGAATCTTCACGTTATTCTATTGATCCATTATCCCTTGACTATGGTAATGTAAATGTTCCTACAGCTGTGTTTGATACTAGATACGAAGACATTGAAATAAAAAATTATTCAAAGAATAAGTATATGATGGTTATTGTTCACACTCCAAATAATCCAAAATATGTTTTCCATTTTGATACACAAGTAACAATATTAAGACCACGTCAATCAACTACAATTACATCATATATGACTTTACATTGTACTACAAAAATTATGGGAATGAAGATACCATATACAGTATGGTTCAGCAAGCATAGTAAAACATTATCAAGAATTGCTAGTCTCTTAAAAGATAAAACCTTTGAGGTATGGACTGATGAAGACAAAGAAGAACTTGAACGATTAATGAAAGATGTTCCTCGAAAGTATCGTTATTGTTTTGAAATTAAAACTGCAGCTGCATCATCTACTCATATAGATATGGATGAATTACATCTTAGAGAACAACCAATTGCTGAAGGTGCATCAGGAACTGTTTATGTAGGTAAATACAAAAGTATTACTGTAGCAGTAAAAAAATTTAGATGGGAAAACTTATCAGCAAATGATAGAGACATATTGAAAAAAGATGTTATTCATGAATGTGAATTAATGAGTAAATTACGTAATCCATATATTGCCAATTATATGGGATCAGTCACTTATATTCCACAAATTTCAATGGTTATTCAATATTTCCAATTAGGATCATTAGGTAATTATATTCGTCATGAAAAACCTGAAGATGTTGTATTACCTTATAAATTAAAAATGAGAATGCTTCTTGATTGTGCTAAAGGAATGGTATTTTTGCATGAGAATAAAATAGTACATCTTGACCTTAAACCTGATAATTTATTAGTTAATTCTTTATATGCCGAATCAAGTAGTTGTGTTGTAAAAATTACTGATTTTGGTACTTCAAGAATTATTAAAAAGAACAATTCTTGTGATAACGAAAATAAAGGTCTTGGTACTCCATTATATCTTTCACCTGAGGCATATGATGATGTTTATTCTTTTGAAGGTGATGTATTTTCATTTGCTGTTATGGCATGGGAGTTATTTTATGCAACTGAACCATACAAAGAATGTAAGTCCTTGTTTGAAATCAAAGACTTTGTAAAGAGTGGAAAACGACTTCCATTTGATGATACCATCCCCATTTGTTTGAAAACTCTTATTGAAGAATGTTGGAAACAAAAACCAGATGAACGACCTAAGTTTGGAGATATTTGTAAAGACATGTATAAAATAGTAGGAGATGCTCCTAACCACCCTGAGTTTGATGTTAATGTTTCAATGGAAAGAATCGAAGAAATAATCAATGAAAAAGCGGCACGTGTTAATGAGTTACTTGCAGACCAAGACACTGATTAAGTACTATATCTTAACTTATTGTCTCTTTTTTTAACATAACATTTTTTTTGGTAATTCTCAACAAAAACAACTCTTAGGATGAACTTAACATAAATTTTAAGTCGTTCACAATGAAAATAATACAATTAAATTTTGTAAAGATTTTATTATTTTGTAATGAAAATTAAAATCATTCAATTATATCAAAAAAACAAAAACAAAATAGATTTAAAATGAAACTTAAAAAAAGAATCAAAAAAAAAATGAAATGAATATTCTTTTCCTCTTTAAGTTTAAAATAAGAAAACAACAATATCTACAAAAAACTAAATCAAAATAGTTATCATGACTTCTTAACATAAGACATTCTAGAAAAAACTTACTGATATATATATTTAACAAATAGTTACTAATAAATTTACTGTGTATATTAACAAACATCCTTTAAATTTTAAGTAGATTTTTAATAACATATTTAATACAATTCATGTCATTGAGAAAAAAAGTATTTTAATTGCAAGACAATACTCACAGAAAATCTTCTTTTTTTTCAACAAAAATGAAAAAGTATCACCATAATTAAATTTTTAAAATAGTTCATGTCTTTAAATGAATAACAATGCTTTATTAATTAAACACTAACTTTCTAGTGGTTTGTCTAAGTGTTTTTGAAGACATTAATAAGATTTTAGATATTTATTTATTGATTAGGACATACAAAAGACATTTAGAAATTAACATTAATGAGAGAAGATACTATGTTTAAAGCAGTAAAATAGAAGGAAATATTAAGATAAGAAATAAAGTCATTAAAATTAAAACTCTACTCTTTATTAATAATAGAATTTTAATTGATGAAGAATTTAAATTATTAAGTCTTTGTAAGTCTTATAATTAAGTAAATTATTAGTATTAGAGAAATAATTTCTTTTGATATCAAAACAGTAAACAGATGAAGTGCTAAACAAATGGATTTAAATTGTTTGATAAACTATAGTTGATTTAATTCTGTCTTGAGGAACAGAATATTGAAGAGTTGAAAGTAATGAACCAGTATCAAGAGACCAAACAAAACTTCTTCCATCTGCATAAGAAAGTAACATAACACATAATGGATAAAAATATTCAACAGAAATAATTTGAGATGGTAATGGTGGAGAATAAATAACTTTTTTATTATATAAATGATCATAAACTAATACTGATCCTTGATCATCAACTGTTAAAGTTAAATAACGATGAGTATCAGGAAATGCTGATATACTTTTTACTTTGGCTAATTGATTACGAGTAATAACAGTTTGAGAACAACTTGGAAATTCAATTGAAATAACATTTCCATCATCACATCCAACAACTACATACATTGGAAAATCACCAATTAATACTGAAGCAGAAATATTACTTTGAATTTTTATTTCACTTTTATCCCCTTCTTCTGGTTTGAAACTAACTACATTTCCTTCAATAAAAATTATTCCATTTGGTGTTTTATAATTAAAAGACATTCAATTAACTCTTTTTTAAGTTCAATGTTTTTATTAAAAATATGAAAATAAATCAACAATTTGTAGAATTAAAAGACTTTAAATAGTAATTCTTAAAATACTTTTTTATAATATCTTTTAATTTTTAAAGATAATTATACTATTTATTATTTTTTTGTATTTAATTTTATTGTTAATTTCGTTATTCTTATTTATTTTCTAATAAACAAACATATTTCTTTGTATTTGAAGAACAAAAATAAATACTTTTTTTAAAAAAAGAGAATTTATTTTTATTCAATTGAACTATCATAAATTGTGTTACATTAAAATTTCAATTCTTTTATTGAGTTATTAGAGAGAATCAATGATAATAAAAAAGAAAATAATTCTTTTTCTATAAAATTGAAATGTTAATTTTGTATTATAAAAATCAAATTTTTATTATGAAAAAACAATTAAAAACACAATAATTACTTCACAATAAAAATTAAATAAATTAAAGTAATTATTTAGAAGATAAATTTATAATCTATACTCTTCATTAGAGTTATTTTCACTATAACTCTTTCTTTGGTAATACCACTGAAATATCATTTAGATTTCAAAAATTATTTCCCATTAATTTATAAGAATTTTCATGTGATTATTTAATATTTCTATTTAACTAAGTAAAATCCATATTTAATGAATCAATTAAAATCATCTTCCATTAACAATAAAAGACTAAGATAAAATACAGTAATTTCTTGTTATATATATATTTTTTTTTTGAATTAATGTTAAACACAAAACTAATAAATCTATTTAAACCAATTGAACTGAAACTTTATTACTTCAACTACACCAACTTGAAGAATTTTCTTTTTATTTTAATACCACATTACATATTATACTTTTAAAAAAAACTATTTCTTGTCAACATTACAATGTACTGTCTTATCAATATCAATACTAAAAACAATAAATTAACGATTTTTGAAGTGTATTTTTATTAAGTTGTGAAGTTATACAATGAATAAAAAACAAAATATAAATTATTAGATTCAATGATTATTATTTGGAAAAATCTTAAAAATTAAAAAGAAAAGACTCATAACAAATTTTTCCTTTTTAGAACTTGTTTTATAGAAATTTATGAGCTCAACTACATTACACAATGCAATGCAATATACTGCATTTGATGTATTATCTTCAATTCTTAATTTAATGAAAGCAGATCCTTTGTATGATTTATTACAATTAAACCAAGCATACTCTAGCCAAGACCAAGAATATGAAAAAAATGAATTTTATGGAGATTCCTATCTTGAAGAACGAGCATCATCTTTAGTATTAAAATTTCTACGAAAGTATGAACAAATACCTTTTGAGATGTATAGTGGATTAAGAATCCACACAGTTAAAAATCAAACTTTAGGAGAAATTTTTGACCTTTTACATTTGGGAGATACAAAAACATTTGAAAAGAAAAAAAAAGGAGATTTAGTTGAAAGTTTAATTGGTGGTTGTGTATTATTATCACAAAGAGAAAATGCAACATTATTTTTGTTATTTGCTCATGCATTGATTGACTATATTTTTTATCATTCTTCTTATATATATTTTAATGCCAATCCTCCAAAATTGGTTAAAGAAGAAATTATTACTGATATTCAAAATTGGTTTAAAGATAAATTGTTTTATTATAGAAGTTCATTAGAAAAATATCAAACTGATCCTACAAATTTTTATTTAGAAGAACAACATGTCTCTGTTGATTTATTTGATGACAAAGAAGAAGTTGATACTAATGATATTGATTATATATTAAGTAGTTCTGATCCACTTGATTTTGGAATTCCTGAACCATCTTTTAATATGACTACATCTCCTTCTTGGAATTCTTTTGTTCATCCATCACAATAAGAATAATCACATAAAGAAATAAATATGTACATGAACAATTCAATTTACTGTTTCATTTTTGTGATTTTCTTTTTTTTTGATTTTTTCAGGCAATAAGAACAAAAACAAGAAATGATGAAACAAAAATCAAAAGGATAGTAATAGTTAATAAATAATAAAATAATAAAATAAATATAATAAAATGATAAGTTATTTAGTAAATAATGAAATGCAAACTAATTTTGTGGAAACAAAAACACAGAGAAAAAACCCTGAGAAAAGCGGTAAAAAGATGAAAATAATAATGTATTGTTATTAATAAAAAAAAGGTAGAAAAAACTAAGAAAACAGGTAAATATGTTTGTCTCACCTGCATTAGTTATTCCACCAAACAACGAAGTCTTTAAAGAAGATACATTAAATAATGCTATAAACAATAATTCTAACTTATCAGATGAAAAAAGAGCAGTACTAAGTTTATATCTTAGACAAGCTCCAGAAGAACGAGCAAGAATAATGAATGAAGTAGATTTAAAATCGTTAATAGAAATATTCTATATTTTATTAAATCAATCAGAACATCCAGGTGTTATTGAAAATACAACATTGTTATTTGATGATTTTATTAATGCTGATATCAATAGAATTCCATTAATTAGTGAAATTGATATTCAATTAACTATTGAATTATGTACCCGTTTAATTAGACAAATGAAAACAGAAAACCTTACAATTCTGAAAGCCAGTATTGAAGTTTTTACTATTCTTACTACTCGGTGTGGTACTTTTAATGATTTTGTATTAATAATGGGTGATTATTTCCAAGTTATTCGTGAAATTTATTCAATTGCTAATCCAACTCGTTTTACTTATCAACCGCTTCATTTATTTAATTGGTCTTTATATATTTTATTAAATAAAGAACCATATAGGACAGTATTTAGTAAAGAAATTCCATTAAATTTCTTATTAGAAGTTCATGATAAAATTGTTGCTACGCAAGATAATGAACTTCTTTATAGTTTATTTCATATTGTTTGGTTACAATCATTTGATGAAAAATTAGTAGAACATGATTTTCCTGAGAATTTTATTCAAATATTTGCAAATGTATTATTAAAAATTAAAATAGAGAAATTAATTAGAATAGTTCTCTTAATTATTCATAATCTTCTAAATGTTGATTGGTATGTTCGTTTATTAGTACAACATGAATTTAATTTAATTATTCCCATGTTATTAAGTCGTACATTCTCTGATAATGATATTGTTGAAATGTTACAAGAAATTAATGAAATAGTAGAAAAAAAAGTAACTGAAACTTCTAGTATGGAATGTTATTTGGATGAATTAAAATCTGGAAGAATGAGATGGAGTCCAATGCATCGTTCAGAACAATTTTGGACTGAAAATGTTACTCATTTTGAACTTGAAAATTGGGCTTTAGTAAGAAAGTTAAAAGGTGTTATTAATGATAAGTCTGCTGATCCTGTTTGTGTTTCTGTAGCTTGTTTTGATTTAGGAGAAGTTGCTCGTTATCATCCTCTTGGAAGAAAAATAATGAATGACTTAGGTATTAAATTAGATTTATTACAATTAACTAGTTCTGAACAACCAGATGTGAAAAAGAATGCAATTTATGCTGTCCAAAAAATTATGTTACACCATTGGGATCTGGTTCAAACTGACTAAAAACATTTTTATTTAAAACAACTTTCACATTAATTTAAAAAGTTAGTCAATAAAGAGATTTTTTGTTTTATTTATTGTCTAAATTTTATAAATTGTTTTATTTACTTAAATACTCTTTATTTTTATATTTCTTGAATTTCTTTTCTTATTTTTAAAAAAAGTTTAAAAATGTCGTTAATTAATACTCTCTTATTTTGAAAATGGTTATGTATTATTTTTACGTGATTTATTTTAATTTTTTATTCTGTTTTCAATTAAAAAGGTATTTTTATGTAATTTTTATGAGACTATTAGTGAATTGGTATTTCCTCATTAAATATTATTTATACGGATTTTATTTTGTTAGTATGAATATTTGCCTCATTTAGAATCTCATATTTTATTTATTATTTATATTTATTCTCAACATATTTTGTGTTATTTTAAATGTGTATTGACGTATTAGAATAATAATTTTCATTCATTCCATTATTTAAATGTTAGTTTAATTATTTTATTGATAGTTTAATTAATAATCAAAATAATCAAAATAATCAAAATAATCCATATCATTTTAGAGACAAACCTATAAATATAGTTAAGCAGAATAACTATAATAATAATGAGGTAATAAGATAAAAACTAAAATCCAAAAAATAAACTTCTCTCAACACTGGTATTTTCTTTTTATTATAACAGATAGTTATATCATTTTATTATTCATACCAAAAATATGGTAGTATGAATAAGAGTAGAGTAAAATCATTCTTTGACTTTATGAATTGATAGAATACATAATTCTAAAGAAAGTAAGACAGAAACAAAGACAAAACAATGTCAAAAATGGTCAATTAATAGAGAGATCCATAATTGAATATTATGAGTATTGAGAAGTGATCGTTTCATTTTCTTCAATATACTCTATTGGTGTAATAGAGTTCATTTCTAGCACGCTCACATTAGATTGTTCTTCTTCTAATGTGCTGCCAGAATTGAAAGTGTAAAACATTAAGTCTTTCATATTTTTTATAATAATTGTTCGTAGGATTTTGGTGAAGTCTAAATTTAATTTCAGTGATTTTAATCTTCTTATAGACTCTTTGTGAATTAAACAATTTATTGATAATATAACAGGTATAATTTCAAAATATATTAATTCTCTATTAATTCTTATTTTCTCTTGTAATTCTCTGTATTTGTTTATTTTATGAATATAATTTAATTCTATATTCATATCTTGACATAAAACAACATCTATAATATATCCTTTCTTTTCTTTCATATTTTGATAATATATATCTTATCTTCTAGCATGGAAATGAATTGTCACTAACCAATAAATCTTTATTGTAAGTTATGACTATTTTATCATTATTAATACATTTTTGAGGATTATTAAAATCAATTGCATCAAAATCATTAAAATTTGTAATTAATACGTGTTTAAATATTTGTTTACAAAC